ATATGACTAGCACGAGGACGCTGAACACACCCATGGCATTGTCATCCTGGTAATATTGGAAGGGGTCAGGGCAACAGGCAAGGCCTGAGGCTGGCAGTGTTCAAATGTAAGCAGTTCTGACAGGACCGTGGCCATTTCTGCCCATGGCTTTCAAAGTTGTTAAACTGTAACCCACATTAAGAAACATATTATTTTGCATCTTGACCCAGTACACACACACCCCTACTGAGGCAAACATTTCGGGAAAGAATACTTACTATGACTGCAATGTACTCTGATATTTATCATTCCGTTCTTTTCTATTTTTTTTTTTTTGTTGTTCAAACTGTTCTAGGCCCTTAGTTTGAAAGATACTGGCTATAAAAGTCAAATCAAATCACACTCCTTTTGAGCTATTCTGTAGTTTGAGGGTCCTAAATGGCCCTCTTTTTTAATCTGTAGCATTAGAGCAGGTGAGTAGTAAAGAGAGAAGCAGCCACTGCTGGGCTGCAGGCAAGGTTCTTCGAGTCTGATGAGATGACAGTACCCGCCTGTGCCCACGAGACTGTGAGGACCGGTGAGCCGGCTCTGTGACAGTGCCCAGGAAGGGTGAAGGAAAGTTGTCGTTCAGGTCGAAGAGTGACTGGCCCTCTGATACTCATCCTGAGGCCTTAACCTGGGAAGTTCCTCTGGCGGCAGGGGTGGTCAGAGATTCTGTCTCCCATCAGACCAGAGCCACTCACGGCCTTGCACCCACCTCGGTTTGGTCATCATTTGTTGTTTTTGTGTGAATGTAACCGCTAAGCCATCATAACATGGTTAAACAATAAATCTTCAGCAAACAAACGGCTTCTCAGTGAACTTCTGCAGCTGGGAGACGAGAGAACATCGGGAGAGCGGAGGTTTCTGAGAACTGGGAGAGTTGTCCCGGAACTTGGTCAGGGGGATACCGTTTTGTTATGTGAGGTCTCTAAGGAAGTTCAGGTCCATAAAGCCACAGCTCCTGAGTGAGTCTGCAGGCGGCGTCGACGCGTGGGAAAAATCATCCCCAGCCCTCGTGAATGCTTATGCAGAAGCCAATCTGTTCGGTCTGCAAGGAGTTGATGATCATACAACATTGTAAATATGCTAAATACCACTGAATATGTGAATTTCAATTTTTTAAAAATAGGGGAAAAAACATTGTGGACAAAAAGGGGCCACATGCTAAAGCCAACAAGCTCAGGGGAGGCCTGTGTGGCAGCCTTGCAAACTCAGAGACCTAACACAACAAGGATGGTCTGAAATGAAGACTTTTGAACTAAAAGTGATATTGTTTTAATAACCTGGTTATAGTTTATCCGGAAAGGAGCAAGGGAAGACTAAATAATATAAGCATGCCGTTCATACAGCTTTGCCAGGAAGCTGCAGTTCACACTCTCCAGGTCTATTCCCCGCAGACTGATGGGGAGGGGCTGGAGAGAGGCAGTTTAGACGCACGCCCAACAAGGTGCGGATGGCTGGGAAGGTGCTCACCTGTCAGGCACACCTGGGAACAAGTCAGTGGCCAGAAGAGGCATGGCCACTGCAAGCGCGTGAGGTCTGAATATTTCGTCTTCTGAACAAAGAAAGATGTTCCGCCGGACTCCTGGCTCTCGGGGCTCCCACGTCCTGCGCTCACCATGGCTCACGGCCATGGACCCACACAGTGGACTGATGGACTGAATCTAGCCTGATGCCTGATGCTCCACTGGACTCCACCACGGACCTGTGGACACTGGCCCTGCTTCTAGCTTTGCTGAGCCCCAGCTGCATGTCTTCCAGGACTGGGTGAAGGGAGTTGGGACTTTACAACCCAAGGAACATAACTCTATGCTAAAAGTCTTTTACCACACTTCCTTCTCCTGTGGGGGCTTCTGAACATGCTCATTTCAGCGGTACCCCAAGAACCTCACTCTCATAAGTGTTGAGGAAATCTGGCCCCCTGATTTCTCCTGCAACAAAAGCAGTTTATGGCAGGTAGTCATGTCCTAGGCTAGAATCTTCCATGACAAAAATTAAACTTTACCTTAACTAAGCCTATTGTCTTTTGCATCTACAATAACATTTCTTTGGAATGTCAGGGTAACTCCCCTTTCTCCAGACTTCTCAGGGCACAACCAGTGCACCAGGGGTGAGACCATAAACCCTCTCATTGTTATTGTTATCATGTCAATTGTTGACTGTTAACTATCCTGCACCCACCTAAGTAAAAGATGTGTGTGTCTATCATTTTACTTTTCACCCAAGCCCAGCGGTTTCCCCTCTTTGCTTTCTCCCCGCTCCCTAATCTATCACCAGTGATTTCATGTAACCTACTTGCATCTTCTCTTTTGATTGTAACGTATAAAATAAGGTGCAAAACTGCCGTTTCTCTGAGGCACCTCAGTCCGTTGAGGTTTTGCTTCCTGGCAATCATAGACAGTTTGACTCAAATAAACTCACAGAAAACTCTCTAGGTTTAAATGTTTCTTACGTTGACAACATATAGGAACACATACTAGCAGAGCAATGAAAATGTAGAGTTATTTTTGTTGTTTCGTTTGTTCTAGCTTTCTGGCACTCTAGATAATCAAAGCAGAAAATCTTTTTAGGTCTTTAATTCTCAGCAAATGAAGATAGAAAGGCAAGGCAGGGGGCAGGAATAGGGAGGAGGGGGTCAATAAGGAAAAAAAAGAGGAACATCTATAATACTTTCAACAATAAAGATAAAATTTTTAAAAAGAGAGAAAGGCAGATAACTCTTTATAAGTAGTAAAACAACTGTAATCCCCACCTGGGGATATTTTTCCATTGATTTTTATTCATTATTTTTTTATTTTAAAAAACTTTTTTTGTCCTCACCCTAGGATATTTTTCCACTGGTTTTTAGATAAAATAGAAAGAGGATGGAAGGGGGAGAGAGAGAGAGAGAGAGAGAGAGAGACATCGATGTGAGAGAGACACATCAATTGGCTGCCTCCTGCATGACCCCAACCAGGGCTGGACACTGAACTGCAACTGAGGTACGTGCCCTTGACTGGGAATCGAACCTGGAACCCTTTGGTCTGAGGGCCAAGGCTCTAACTGCTGAGCCAAACTGGCCAGGGCCAGTCTAATTTTAAATGGCCAGTTTGACATGGCTCAGCAGACGGTCTCGAACTGGGGACCCAGGAGCAGCCATTGTTTCATTGCCTCCTCTGGGAGCCTACATCCCCACGGCCCCCACCTGAGTTGACCAGTAGTACACGACCCATCATGGACCAAGGGAGCCATTGCTGAGCTGGACACAGGCCTGGAGGGGCCTTGAGCCAGGGTCCACCCCACAGGCAGCCCAGTGGACCGTGCAGACTGTCCTGCAGAAGCTCTCCGGGCTGTTCCTTACCAGACACAGGAGAAAGGCTGCTGGTGAGGGCAGGAGCAGTGGCTTCCAAGGCCAAATACCTGCGTCACCATCATGGTGGGGCCCCAAAGCAGGGGTTCATAATTGCTGATTCTGAAGCCTTGCCTCCCAGGTTTTGTGTGATGATGTCATCAGAGCTGCTGCTGAGAAGTAATGGGGTGATGACCTCATCCGGACCATCTTATAAGGCCTGGTCCTGTAGCTGAGACCACTTTCCCACTCCTGGAAGTAACCCGAGGAGGTGTCTATGCTTTGAAACCAGGAAGAATCTAATGTGCATGTGAGTGCCACCGAGGGAAGCCACCGAAAGGATCTGGGGTGCTCCTGGCTTCCCTGACGAGGGCTGGCAGGGCTGCTCTGACGATGTCGCTAGGGCAGAACCTCCGCGTCCCCCTCTGCTTTGCCAGCCTCCCCTGCAGAAGCTGGAAAAGCGAAATGCTTCTTTCCCTGTCCTTCTGCAGCTCCCTGTGGCCAAGTGACAAGTTCTGGCCAGTGAGACAAAATGGAACTCCTGGAGGGTCAGGAGAGTGTCTGAGGAAGCTTTTGCTTATATATAAAAGTATTACCAGCCAAAATAAAAAGTGTGGCCCTGGCCGGTGTGGCTCAGTGGCTGAGCGTCCTCCCATGGACTGAAAGGCTCTGGTTCGATGACCGGTCAGGGCACGTGCCGGGGTTGCCAGCTCGATCCCCAGTAGGGGGCGTGCAGGAGGCAGCTGATGGATGTTTCTCTCTCACATTGATGTTTCTGTCTCTCTCTCTAAAATCAATAAAAACATATTTTTAAAAAAGTGTTACCGGTGAGACAATGAAAGGAAAGATTTCAATCAAGAGACAAAGTGTAGAAAAGCAAGCAAGAATTTATTGGCCACAGCAAAACACACTCAAGACAGTGAAACAAAGAGGAACCTAGAAGCAACAGGAGACCTGGGCTGGGCTGCTTTGGCTCCCTGGGAAGTCAGAGAAGAGCTGCCACTGCCCACTGTCCCCTGGATGTGAGTCTCTGTGGGGCCCCTTAGAAGGAAGAAGGGGAAGTGAATGGCACATATGTGCCCCTGGAGAGGGAGCACATGCTGGGTCCTTTGAGTTGATGGTATTTAACTCTCCCTTGCAGGTGGGATCTTAGGGGAGGTCTCAGGGGAGGGTCCCAATAGAATATTCATCAGCTTTCCAGCTGTGCTCCTTCAGGGTCCTGGTCTCCTGATTGGTCTGCACCAGGGCAGGGGGTCTTTAGTCAGTGCAGCTGGTCCTGAGGCAGCCATGGTGTCACTTGTCTGGTTTTGCTGCTTTTCTGTACCTGGAGCTGAGATACAACTGAGGCCTAGATGTTATCTTTAGGGAGGAAAATGTCAGGGGGTGTAAACCACACGACCAGTGATATGAAAGATCAGGGATCCAAACGTATGGCCCGCAATATGCTGGGGGAGGAACGGTTACCCCGAAGGCAAGGTCCTTGTTTTCCCAGTTTGCTCCTTGCTAGGCACCCAGGTGACCTCCTGCAGCTGGTGCATCGTCCTTGCTCTGCTCAGGGCTGTCTAACTGCCTATAACAAAAGGCCCAGGCGCGGAGGTCATTGGCACTGCCCCGCCCCATCCTCCTGCCGTTTACAAGCATGTACCTGCAGCTGTGGCATAGAATTATGACAGAAGACTCGCATGCTAAGGGCAGGACCGAGACAAAAAGACGAGTATTCTTGCTGGCATTGTGGGCAGCTGAACCGCAGCTTCTGGCCTCCAGGTTTCTTGTTCTGCTAGAAAAAATATCTTCACTTGCAGTTTTCCTGATAACACTGTATATGTAAAACTAATAACAAAATATGTCTCTATAGATATATAATTTCCTTAGGTAAACTTTTTAGCAAATCATGTTAGTCATTCCACAGTAGAATCCAATCATTCCAAATACTTCTTATACAATCGCCTATTTTAAAAATGACTGGGTTTTGTTAAGGAGGGCACACAGCGTACCCAGTGCCCAGGCTCTGCGGAGGTGCTGATTTATATCTGAATATGCCTCCTCTTAAACAGACTCTGCTGTACATGGTGCCATGCAGTAAGAATATGAAAAAAATTCTGTATAGCTCTGGCAGGTTTGGATCAGCGGTTAGAGCGTCAGCTCGTGGACCAGAGAGTCCCAGGTTCGATTCCCACTAAGGGCACGTACCTCAGTTGCAGTTTGTTCCCGGCCTCGGTTGGGGTCGTGTGGGTGGCAATCACTCAATATGTCTCTCTCACATCGATGTTTCTCTCTCTCTCCCTCCCGCTCTATCTCAAGATAAAATGCAAAAAAAAAAAAAATGACCTTGGGTGAAGATAAAAAAAAATTCTATACATAACTAAGCACACCTAGTCATTACTTATGTGAAAGGGAACCATTCTGGAATCAATGCAGCCCTGCATAGACCTATCAGAGAATAAGTCTTAGAGAAATACAGTGCCACACATGTAGCAAACATCTTCCCAGAATGGTCATTATATTTATGAGCCAAAGAGCACACACTTAGCCAGCTCACATAATGTCAGCTCGAAGTCAAATGCTCAGCAGATACTGGTTAACTGACACTCTCTCCTGCAGAAGGCAGAACAAGCAACAGCCTTGTTCTTCTTCTTCTTTTTTTCTTTATTGATTTGTAGAGAAAGAGGAAGAGAGGAGAGAGAGAAACATTGATTGGCCGCCTCCTGCATGCCCCCACGAGGGATTTGGCCCAGAATCTGGGCACGTGCCCTGACTGGGATTTGAACCAGCGACCTCTTGGTGCATGGGTCAATGCTCAACCAGTGAGCCACACCAGCTGGGCGCAGCAGTCCCACTTCAACCCCGGCTTCGGCTTGATCGGACAGCAGTGTGGAGTCAGACTTCTCTCACCCTGACCGTTCTTCCTTCCCCACAGGTCAAGGCCACCTCTCACCTGAGGTTTGAGTCCCACGAATGTGCATTCTGCTCAGAGCAGATAAATGCCAAACTTGTTCTCTCAGCACTATGGAAGGGTTTGAAATGACAGGTGTCTCTCTATGACCAGGAATCCTTGGCCTTCACTTAGGTTTTCCAGCAGCCAGAGCTACAAAGACCCACATTACACCATCACCCTTTCACCTATTTACCTTAAAAAGGGTCACTAGACCTTGGCTGGGGCATATCGATCCCTTCAAGAGAATGCCCTCCACACTTTGATGTCTCTTTCCTAGGTTAAAAAAAAAAAGTCCTGCATAAACAGGATGACCCTTTCCCCAGATACATTTCCTTTCATCAGAATTCATGGAAAAATCAAAACTAATTATTTGACATACTGGTTTGTGCGTGGTGTCCACTGTCCTCTTTCCACGTAAAGCAAAAACTCCTGATGGGATGGCCAGAAGGCTCTTCTGGTCGTGAGTGTATCATACACACCACGATGTGAGAGCTCAGTAATGTTAGGGAAATTCTAATCAGTGAAGCCAACCTGGAAATTTACAAGGTTAGTCTGAGACTTGTTTTCTGACCTTTACTTTCCGTGAGAATACCACGGGAATACATCAGGAGGTGTTCACGAGAAGGCCTCCACGTGCGCACAGTATTACTTGCTCTCAGCCACTAACAGCACTTGACTGTCAAAGAGCCTAAGAGCTGGCTCTCCAGCAGGACGAGAGGGAAGCAGACTGTCTAACTGTGACGTCCGCAGCAAGCCGTGGGAGGGACGTGGCCAGACTCTCCTATGTAGGACAATGGGATTTTTGATTGCTAATTTCGTGTAACTGCAGTTTGCAAATTTAACTTCCTTTGAAGATCCATATTAAGCATTTAATTCTCTGGTCCAGCAAACTAGAATTGAATTTCCAGCCACAAGTGTGTATCTTGAATATTGAGTCTTGTTTTCTTTCGTGCTTAGTAAAGTAGCGAATGAAAAGAACAAGAGAAACACCCCCAGGAAAAACAATGACAAAACCTGTGGCCAGTGCTTGGTAAAACAGAAATGCCCACATTTGGCCACGAATGCTATGTGCAGCTTTAGAAAATAAACATTATTTCCTCATTTTGTTCATTTATATATTCATGCAGTCATGCAAACAATTACTAAGTGCCATGCTGGGTACAAGGGGGAACATGTCTTTGCCTCGACAGATTTACGGACTGGTGGAAGAGGAAAAAAATAGCCCAAAGTTACACAACAGTCTGCACAGGCTTTGGGAAGGCTTCCTGGGGAGAGGACACTTGAGCTGCCCCAGTCAAAGCACGAAGGTAGGTTACAGAGCTGAAGAGCTTGGCTGAGGCAGGGAGTGAGACTGGAGAGAGGCAGGAGGGACGAAGGAGTGAGAATCCACGGAATAAGACCGACTGCCGTGGAGGAGGAAGTGAAGTGGTTGAGCCGCGCACCTGGGTTCCTGGCTTGTATGCCAAGGCATCTGGTGGCGCCACTCACAGAGCGGAGACCGTGGGGAAAGGCGCAGGTTAGAAGTAAAGGTGACGATTCTGTTTGAGATGTGCTGGTGAGGTGTCTAAGCGACTTTATCAGGAGGTGTCTAGGATTTAATTTACTGTCACACAGCATGATGTCTAGAGCTCAGCAATTAGGGAGGAGCCAGCAACAAATACAGAATCAGTGAAGTTATACAGCAATAGCCTTTGAGCAGGTTAGCGGGGAGAGTGCTGGGGACCATCTGTGTTTGGGGAGTCCATCTTTGAGAAAGAGAGCTTAGAGGTCACCCAGGCTCACCTCTTTGCTAAAAGATGGTCAAATGGGTGAGCCTGGGTGACCTCTAAGTTAACCTTCCCAAAGAATACTATTGAGCCCCAGGGGAGCGAATCATACCAGGTGCAGGGGTGGGTGGGAGGAGGTCTATGCACAGGAATCTTTCGCCCAAACAACCCTAGAGCTCCTGGTTCCCTGGTTGGAAGCCCCAGCTGAGCAGTCAGCGGTGCCCACAGTGAGAACCCAGAGTGTGGCACATTCAGGCTCCTGCCCCAGGCTGTCGGTCTGCAAAGCTGGGGAGCGGCTGAGCCCAGGCAGAGATGCCCCGTCTCCACATTCCTCTCAGCTCTCGTCCCTGTGCCGCAAGCCTGACCCAGACCTTCCTCCCGCCCGCTGTGCCAGGTCCCAGCACCACGGGGACCTTTCTGACCAGCAAGTGAAAGCAGTAGACCTATTTTGGAGAGCTCGGAGCTGCTCTCTCACAAATTTAGCCTTTTAATATTCAGCTACTGAAGGGATCCAGGTCCAGCTGATCACTTTGGAAGAAAACATTCAAATGACTTACTCACAGTCTTAAACATCCATCTTGGGTTTTGGTGCCTCTGTTCACCCTGTCATTTCCCTCTTTCCCGTGAGTTAGAACTGAGGGCCCCGGCTCCTAGGAAGACTCATCAACCGCCTTGTTCACCATTGCTTCCCAGTGGCTAGGAAGAAGTAGGTTGTGAATGACTGACTCGGACTTCATAAAAGTATTGGTTGGCACTATTGCTTCAGTAATTAGTAGCATCAACCATCAGCCTATCTTGGCACTTCTCCTGTATTATTTAACAGTTCATCCGTTTATAGCTCATCTCTCACCTCTAGTGTTGATCTCATGTCTTCTGCTTCCCTTCAGCTTCAGTGAGCATAGTATTTTGTACATAATAGCTGCTCGATACTTCTTGTTTGACCAAAAATCTAGAATTTTGGCAGTTGCCTTCCCCCAAGATGTCTTCCAAGTTGCAGGCTGCCATCTTCTCTCTGTGTCCTCACATGGCAGAAAGAGGGCATGACAGCTCCCTTTTATAAGGACACTACTGCCATCCACGAGGCTTCCACCTGCATGAAGTAATTACTTCCGAAGGGTCCCACCTTCTAATACTATCCCATTGGGGTAAGGGCTCAAAACACGAACTGGGAAGGATACAAACAGTTATTCCTTTGCAGTGAGGGACCAATTTTTCTTTTATTTTTTTAAATTCTCACCCAAGGACATTTTTTTCCATTTTTTTGTTCAGATAGAGTGGGAGGGAGAGATAGAAACATCAACATGAAAGGGACACATCAAGTGACTGCCACCCGCACGACCCAACCAGGGCGGGGGACAAACTGCAACCGTGGTACATGCCCTTAGCGGGAACCGAACACAGTCTCTCTGAACCGCAGGCTGATGCTCTAACCGCTGAGCCAAACAGGCCAGGGCCCAAGTTTTCTGACTGCTGAACTAAATAGGTCTGCTGGTCAAGAATTCAGTGAACTAATAAAATATGGCTGTTCATATTTTTATTAATTATATAATATAGCCTGGCCTGTGTGGCTCAGTTTAAACTACTTCAGCAATTGACTCGGGCTCACAGCATATAAAATGATGTCTATGTGTTGTGTCTTACACACTTTATTTTGTTTAATATGTATAACAACCATGGGAGGCAGGAATTAACATTTTCTAGACAGGGACTTTCGGTCAAGATGGCAGGAAGGTAAATGCGGTATCACGTTCTCCCACAACCACATCAAAGTTACAACTAAACTACAGAACAACCATCATTCAAAACCGCCTAAAATCAAGCTGAATGGAAGTCCTACAACTACGGAATTAAAGCAGCAGCCACATCCAGACTGGTAGGAAGGGCGGAGGCGGACGGGCTGGTCCCACACCCACTTGTGGCGGATAAAAATCAGGAGGACACCTCGGCTGGGAAGGTCCTCCCTGAGGACTGAGGGGTCCCCGTCCCACACCAGGCATCCTGCTCAGGGTTCCAGTGCCAGGAAGAGAATCCCCATCACCTCTGGCTGGAAAAACCAGCGGGAACTGAGGCTCAGGGAGGCTGAGGCGGCTGGAGCCTCAGGCAGCTCCTTAAAGGGCCCACGCATGGACTTATCAGACTCACTCCCTCTAAGTTTGGAGGGGAGGCAGCTTGAGGGGCACCAGAGACATACAAGGAAGAACTGAGCTGTTTGGCACTGGAGCGAGGGCTGGAGAGGGGGCTTTCTCCAGGACAAACGTGCTGTCAGAGGCCTTTGTTCCTTTGGTGAGCCCTTCCCTGGGGCATCAGACAGTCTCCATATCTGGGGCTCCAGCAACCTGGTTCACACTGATAGCCCCGCCCCACCAAACTTTCAGGCCCACCCAAGCTGTTGCCAGTTGCTTAACCATAGGATTGGCCTGTCTTGGATCCTGCTTCAGGTTTTCCTGAATTCTTTCAAACAAGCAGCATCTGGTCTCAGATAGACCCATACCTCTCGTTAAGTAATACATAGAAACAAACACAGGGAGGCAGCCGAAATGAGGAGACAATGAAACAGGTCCCACATGAAAGAATAGAACAAAACCCCAGGAAAAGAACAAAGCGAAATAGAGATAAGCAACCTAACAGATGCTGAGTTCAAAATACTGCTTATAAGGATGCTCAATGAACTCAGTGAGGGCCTCAAAGAGCATAAAAAAGGACCAGTCCGAAATGATGGATGCACAGTCCGAAATGAAGGAGGCATTAACTGAAATAAAGAATAATTTACACGCCCTGGCCAGTTTGGCTCAGCGGTTAGAGCGTCGGCCTGCGGTCCGGAGAGACCCGGGTTCGGTTCCCGCTAAGGGCACGTACTTCGGTTGCAGTTTGTCCCCGGCCCTGGTTGGTCGTGCGGGTGGCAGCCACTCGATGTGTCCCTTCACGTTGATGTTTCTCTCTCTCTCTCCCTTCCTCTCTCTCCCTCCCACTCTATCTGTACAAAAAATGGAAAAATATCCTCGGGTGAGGATAAAAAAATAAAATAAAAAAAAGAATAATTTACACAGATTCAATAGTAGAGTACGTAAATCCAAGAAGCAAACCATCGATTTGGAATATAAGGAAGCAAAAAATGCCCAATCAGAACAGCAAAAAGAAAAAAGAATCCAAAACAATGAGGATAGTGTAAGGAGCCTCTGGGACAACTTCAAGCGTGCCAACATTTGCATCTTGGTGGTGCCAGAAGAAGAGGGAGAACAAGAAATCAAAAACCTATTTGAAACAATAATGGCAGAAAACTTCCCTAACTTGGTGAAGGAAACAGACATACAAGTCCAGGAAGCACAGAGAGTCCCAAACAAGATGAACCCCAAGAGGCCCACACCAAGACACGTCATCATCAAAATGCAAAAGGTTCAAGACAAAGAGAGAATCTTAAAAGCAGCAAGAGAAAAGCAGTTAGTTGCCTACAAGGGAGTTCCCATAAGACTGTCAGCTGATTTCTCAAAAGAAACTTTGCAGGCCAGAAAGGAGTGGCAAGAAATGATTAGAATGATGAAAAGCAAGAACCTACACCCAAGATTACTCTACCCTGCAAAGCTGTCATTTAGAATTGATGGCCATATAAAGAGTTTCCCAGACAAGAAAAAGTTAAAGGAGTTCATCACCACCAAACTGTTGGTTGCCATATGGGAGGGGGGTTGGGGGAATGGGTGAAAAAGGTGAAGGGATTA